GCTCAAGTTGTCTAGAAAGGGTTCTATCCGAGAGCGGGACATTATGTGCGCGTTGGCACTCGAAGATATAGGGAATGTCAGACTCTCATTTATGAGAATACTATATCTACCAAAGCTCAGGCACGAGAGTCACAACGTCTGGACGACCTTCAGAAGATGAAACCACCGGCCGTCCAAACGCCGAACTACCCGTGGCCGACTAAGATGATGGATCGTCCATCGCCTGGTTGCGAAGAAGCGAGAGTGATCAACCTTCAGATTGTCCCAAGTGAAGTGTATGATGGGATGTCTGAAGTAGGTAAGGGGTTGTCAATAAGGACGTCGAGAGTGACTACGACAATGCCTGAAGTGAGTGATTTCGGATGTTGAAGATGAAACAACGGATGTCCCAATAGACGAGTCTGAAGAAGCGCCGGATGACCAGGACTCGGACGAAGGTGGGTGTTTCGACTCAATTAGTGTCGACGCTGGTTTTCCAGAAGTCAACTTGGGGGACATTCCAAAAGTGGAACCCGAGGATGATGTCTTTTCGGACCTGCCGGTGTTGGGGATGGTTTGTACGCCAGTTCAGCAGCTCGAGCTAGTGTACGAACGTGTCATGCGGATAAGTGCTGAAGAATTAGATCTCGAGCCCGCCGTTTATATTCATCAAGGGAGTCAAACGTTGTCACAACTCCGGGAACAACTCGCTTTGCTTCCGGATATCGAAGAACTATCTCCGAAATGTGATATTGATTCGGCTGACGTTGGTGAACCTGGGACGGACACTCCAGAAGATGAGCGGAAATTGCGAGCAATCCTGAAGTATCATCGAGCCATTTTTCTGGGAGATGGGAACGCGGTTCCAGCCCTAGCGCGAGATGTGACCTGTGATTTGGATGTTGGACAGGCAAACCCCGTCGCTCAGCGTCCCCGATCTGTTGCACCCCATTTATCAATCAAAGTGTATGAATTGCTGAAGAAACGTTTGGAAACCCGACTCATCGAGCATTCAGAATCATCATGGGCATCACCCATTGTGATTGTCCTCAAGCAAAATAGTGTGGATATCTGAATGTGTGTCGACTACCGAGCTGTCAATGATTTCATTACTTTGTCCAATTACCCCATACCGTTGATAGATGATCTGCCGGTTGGTTGTGAGGATGTCATGTGGTTTATGAATTTGGATATGGCGAGTGACATGTGGGCGGTCAAGCTGTCCGAACGGTCAAAGCTGATATCGGCGTTAGTCTGTCCTTTCGGACTCACGAATGCGCCGTTGATATACCAGTCGGTTATCTACAATTGTCTGTGGGGATTTGTGAGACTGCCTCCGGAAGAAGAAGCAGAAGTCGATCAATTTCTGGGTCTGGACCCTACAGACACACCAAGAATCTGAAAGTGACCGTCCAAAAGACGAGGTGAAAGGACTCACAGACTCAATGACGGTTTTCAAAAGGAGTATTCCCATGCCTTCATATATCGGTCCCGTGCTAGGACGCTGTTCTTATATCGATGATATTGCTCATGGCGCGAAAACATGGAATCAACTTTGTGAGGATCTGGACACTTTGCTCTATCGCTTACGTTACTGAAATATATCGGCGAGTTTACCAAAGAACGAGTTTGGAAAACGATCGATCCCCTATCTGTCACACTAAATTAGTGCAGAAGGTATCCGAGCGACCCCAAAAGATGCGAACGGTGTTATGGAGCTACCGTTTCCCAAATCCCGCAAAGGTGTGTTATCGTATCTCGTAAGTCAAAATTACTACCACAAGTTTATCGAGGACTTTCCGGTAGTGGCAGCGGTTCTTTATGAACTTTCAGAAGACCAGATACGCCCGGGACGAGACCTTTCACGAGCTCATGAATCTTTTGAACTGCTTTAAAGGAAAATCGTTGCGACACCAATGTTAAGGCATCCGGATATCCAAACGCCATTTGTGGCTATTCCGCACGCGAACCGCTGGGCTGCTTGTGCAGTCATTGGACAAGAATACGACGGGAAGATACAACCTGTTCGGTACACGGGACGCGTTCTGAACGATGCCGAGCTCCGGTATCACATTGCCGAGAAGGAGGTAATTGCTATACGGAGGGCGTTGCAAGTCTTTCGGACGATTCTGTAAGGCCGACAACTGATCCTCTACACAAGATATTCTGTTCTGATGTGGGTGTTACAGTCTAAGTCGGCAGACGGGAGATGCGTTCCTTGGGGAGTCACACTTTCACATTGGGATATTGAAATCTGAAAAGTCCAAAAGGATGAAGATGGACTCGAGGCCATCATGGGTGCAGGGATCACACCACGAGAGCATCTGGATGAGACCGTCGCAACATTGATCCCTCTGAAGGGACATGTTCGAAGGCTCCCAGTAGTGAGTGTTGAGATGTTGGGAAGCGATTTCCAAGGAGACGTTCTGAGTTTCGACGGTGCTGCAAAACTCTCCACCAAGAAGGGGGGGGCTGTGGCTGTGTGTTCTGGCAGCTACCCGGTTAGAAGGTCCTGAAAGCGAAGGGTTTTCTTTTGGAGAATGTCACGGTAAACGAGGACGAGTACCATGGACTTCTCAAAGGACTCAAGATGGTCATTGAAACGAGGCTGCAAGATTTGGTTGCAGTTGCGGATTCGAATTATTATCCAACAGGTCCAAGGATTGATCAACCGCAATCAACCACATCTCGAAAAACACCTTGCCCATGTCGAACTACTGAAAGAGAAGTTTGGATCGTTACATCTAGTGCATCTCAAGCGAGAATACAACCAAGCCGCAGATTGTCCGACCACGAAGACCTTGGTCCTAGATGAGTCATGGGATGTTACGGACACGGCAGAGATCGCACATTTGGAGCACGTGTCAAAGATCGCAGAGAAACTCATGAAGGTAGAAGACTCCGAGTTAAAATCTGGAGTTGATCCAACTTCTGAGCAAACACTGTCAAGAGACGTCGAACAGCCTGCTGCGGAGTCAGCTCCATTGACAAAATCAGCCCGCGTGATCGCAGCGGGTACGCGTTCCAGAAGCCAAGCTGAATCCACTCCAAGAGACCGACCCATGAACCCTTTGGAATTCCAAGCCGAACGATGTCGATGCATTCGAGTGTATCAGGACGCAGATGAGTACCTGTCAGAGATCAAAGACTTTCTGGAGGAGGACTTCGAGAAGTTGTCGCCCAAAAGACTGAGATAGGTCACCAAGGTTGCTGACCTGTTTGTGCTTGACACTCGAGACGTGTTGTATCGATTAGCTCGTTCGTCACCAAGGCATCACCAGGACCCATAAGAGGTTATGTTCTGAATTTTATTGGTCAGGTATGTCGACAGATGTAGAACACTTTGTGAAAGAGTGTGTTGATTGTGCGAGTGAAAAAGGAAAACCTCCAAACTTGACCATCGCCCAGGAATATCGAACCTCGGCAACCTTTCGAAGTTGTTTCAATGGATTTGGTGACGCATATGTCGAAGTCCGACCGAGGGAATACGTTTCTATTACTATTCCAAGACATGTTCTCTGGATATGTAATGTACAAACCGATGGACTCAACCACCGCTCAGGCTGTCGCGAAAGCTTACGAAGAACGTGTAGATCGGAACTTTGGAGCCAGTTCAATGATCCGGCACGATCAAGACCCCCGTTTCATGAGCGAGGTGTTTACTCGCTTTCGGGAGGTTTTTGAACAGTCGTCAGCAAGCCACTTTGGGATACCAACCTCAAGCAAACGGGCAACAAGAACGATCGGTTCTAACGGTCGTCAGGAGTATCCGCCCCTATATTGAACAGGCCGACCAAAGCGACTGGGACGATCATTCGGAAAGGTTGATGTTTGCCCTAAACACGTCGTTTGACGCGACATGTTTGGACACCCCGTTCTATATGATCCACGGTTGGAATCCACAACGCACTCTGAAGACGATGTTGGGTCCAACACCATCAAGTGTACCCGAAAGGACTGCCTAC